AATCACAGTTTTTTCCCACTGACTTTTAACAAATTTCGTGGCGATCAGTGTTCGATTCAACAAGCAATTACAGGTCAGAGTGTGACTGATCACGATTTGCGTTCAAGAATTTATTCGGCCTGTTTTCTCAATTGCTTGATTTTCATTTTGTCAGAAACGCGAGTGTCAATTTGAATTGATCATATGCGTCCTTGTGGTTTTATTTTTCTGAGGAAAAACTATCAAAATTAGGCTATTAGAAAAATGTCTATATTTTCAAACATTTATTCTAGTTGAGTTTTATGTTTTTTAGTCTTTGGTTTTCTCTTCTGCTTTTTGTTCCGACTTTCGATACGAAAGTAACAAAATATTTGTGCTCAGGGTGGGTTTGTTTTCTTCATTCAAATTTAAACTTTTTAACTAGCCATTTTTGACAAAATTTTTTTATATCATTCGAAAGGTATAGTCGTCTTGAGCTTAAATTTGACAAGATATTTCAACTGTGATCATTTTTCGTAAAGTTACGGGGGTTTAGAGATTGCCATTTTGACCCATTTGGGACAACTAACGCGCCATATATTTCGCGCTATTAACGCGTAAACGGAGAGTAAATCCGTCTTAGAAATCGTTCCGAATAGATTAAAAGAAGCTTATTCGCCATAATTGGTTTGTTACAAGAAGCAAAATCTATCTTTTTGTACTTTATATGGCGTGTGGGGGGATGATTGTCATAAAAAACTTTCACATTTAAAAAAAAAATTTCTTTTGTTTTATTTCATTGAATTTTTAGTGTTATTACTGCTCCATAAACCTTAAAAGGCAGTCAGAACATTCAGGGCTTCGCCCTGATACGAGCTATCTTGTATTTATTAGTACTCTTTTTATTCTAATAGGAATGGAAGAAAACATGGCGAAAACATGGCCTACTGATTTTGGCTACTTCAAGGAAAGCAAGTAGGGGATTATTTGTGGTATTTTAAAAAATCCTATAGGCCGTGATTCGTAAATGAAAAATAAAACTGAACATTTCTACTGTTGAGGTCTGGTCAGGGAAAATCTAGTTTGAAAATTGTTGAGTAGTTTAGACGAAAAAACTTAGAAAATTTATTGCATGATAATAAAAAACCAAAAGTTATTTGAAGACTGACAAGATTTTGATTAGAAGCCGACCTCTAAATTTGAATTTACAAAACTTTGAAAGTCATATTCATTATTATCTGACAACGTTCGTCATGTTAAATAAAATTTAATATTATTAAATACAGTCCGAATTTTTTTGTTTACTTAGAAGGGGTAGAGTTTTTTTAGTAGCCCGGGTTGACTTCCTTCAAAAGTTCCCCTATCCTAGAAACTGTTGGAACTTTCTGCTACCTTACAACTCTCTTAAGGGAAAAATTCTAAGATTGCAACTTTTTCTCAAATTGATATAAATAAAAATCCCAACAGATAGAAATCATTTCTAGAAAATTCCTTTTTTTTCAAATTTATGCATGTAAAAGTTTTCCGACTGGTTATAATGTATGCATTTCGAGAAAAAAATTCCGAAACAAAAACCATTTAATAAATCTCCTAGTCAAACTTAATTAGCGGCTCAAAGTTATTTTGGGCATTATAAAAAATCTATTTTAACGAAGCATGTCACATAGCTTTGAACGTGTTGTATGTGAGGCTCAAGTAAAGATCGGCAAAATTTGTTGAAACCAGGAAATAACTACGTCTGTAAACTAAGTGGTTGTTTCTGTAAACTCATAAACGAAAACGAGTCTTCTCGCCTCCGAATTTTTGCTAGTGCATTCTGCGACAGTAAAAAACCTTGAAACTTGAATAGGAACATTTCTTAAAACTAAACAAGAATTTCGAAAAAAAAGTGAAACTTTGTTAGGAAAATTTCCTATCGTACAACTTTTTTGTAAGAAACGTCATTCTCTAAAACTTTGTAATAAGAAAAACTCGCCATCTTGTAGCCTTGCTAGAGCCTAATTTTGGGACAATTTGTAACAGTCTTATAATAAAGTTCTATGATAGCGACTTTTTGTCAACCCGGGATATACCAAAAAGGGGAGGTTGTTAAGTAGATCCTTCTTTGTCATAAGTCAACAACAAACCAAGTGCTTCCGTGGCTTCCGTGGTTTTCTCTGCAGTACGAGAGGAGGAGTTATAATTATTGCGAAAACAAAAACCAAATTACCATAGGTGTCGATAACTGCAATGATCAGCAAATTGAGGAAAAATATTGGACATCCAGTCATCATAAAATCTGGAACTCGAATTTTCACAGAATCTTTGATTTAACGAAAACAAATAGGATGCGAGTACGTTTCGAACAAGTTGATGTTCGTGAAGAGTTGAAATATACAAATATGCGATATGCAAATAGTGAGCTCAATTAAGTTCAAGGGTCACGATTGACAATGAACCTGAAAATATTTACGCAAAATGTTGTTTTTCTGATTGAAAACTTGGTGGGTGTTCAACAAACTGCAATATCTGGAATCCACCATAAGTTAAAGCCGAAAATTACATCAAAATTACATAACATGATATTTAGAGCCGATTATCGCCGGTGAGCCTTATACCGTCGGCAACAAATCAAAACCGACCTTTTTCACGTTTTTTCCGTTTCTGGGGCTTATGATAATTTTCAGCTTGGGGGAGCAGTGGTGAAGTGGTTACGTCTCCGCCTCTCAATCGAAAGGTCGGATGTTCGAGGCCCACCATGATCCGTGCTCGTTGCTTGAGGGTGAGGCAACATTACCCAGCCCAGAAAAATAACCAAAAAAATTGCATGTAGTTCTTAAGCAGGGGCACAACAGCGGTTCGCCGTGATGGGCTGTACAGCTCGTATGTTGGTCCTATCCCTCGTGGATAAAAATGGAAAAAAAAAAGCTTATTGGAATGGTATTATATTTTGCCTTGTTGGAACTTCAGGCATTCGGCTTGTGGGCCTACCTTCGAAACTCTATTATTGTGATGGCAAAATCGGTTCATAGTTTTATCAACATAGTTGCGTATTGACTTTATAAGGATCTCTTTAACTATTCGCCCTAGGGTTCCTAGCAGGCAGACAGGTTTTTCTCAAGGGAGGGGGGGGGGGGGTGGCGAATTTCCCAAAAAAATTTCGAATGTTGTCGAGGTTTTTTTAGGTCGACCAAATTGATTTTCTGAGCTCTCCCAAATCAATATAAAGACCCCCTTTTGACCAAATTTGTGCGCTGTAGACAAGTTTTTGTAAAAACAGGCCAAAGAAGGTGTTTTTCGGCTCTTTTTGGAAAAGTTTCGCCGAAAAGTTGCGTTTTTTTGGCAAGCGCTCCCCCCTCAAAATTAGTATATTTCGGAGCCCAAGGCGCTTTTTAGAAAAGTTTTGTTTTAGAGACAATCAGCCAAAAAGGGCCCAAAAGGGATATCTCAAAATAGTACAAAGGGGAACTCTTTGGGTCGGCAGGGCGTCCAATCCCTAAGCACTAAAAAGGTTTTATAGGGGCCAAAATAAAAGCACTTGAAAGAGTGCTCAAAATAAAATAAAAGCACTTAAAGTAGACGAAAAAAGCAGGCAAAAATAAAACTTTTTAGGCAATTTATGGAAAATTTAGAGAAAAAGCTGGGGCCGAAGGCTCGTTTAGAAAAATTAGGGTCCGTCAGTCAAAAATGGATATCTCAAAAAAGTACAACGGGGGACCTTTTGGGTTGGCAAGGGGTTCGAATCCCTGAAGGGGGCATCCGCCCCTCCCCCCTCCTTAATCCGCCGTGGGAGGGGCGGAAGCCCCCCCCCCCCCCCTCAGAGATTCGACCCCCTGCCAACTCAAAGGGTCCCCTGTTGTACTTTTTCGAGATATCCATTTTTGGCTGACGGACCCTAATTTTTCTAAACGAGCCTTCGACCCCAGTTTTTTCTAATTCTGAGGGAAAAGCGAGCGCCGTAAGAACGCGATGTTTTGGTCAACGTTTTTCGAACCCCTTTTGTACTACTTTGAAACATTTTGAGGGGGGAGCGCGCGCCGAAAAAACGCAATTTTTTGGTCAAAATTTTCCAAAAACCGCCTAAAAACTCGTTTTTTTCGGCCTTTTTTCAAAAACTTGACTGCGGCTCAGACAATTTGGTCAAATTAGGGTCTTTATAGAGTTTGGGAGAGCTCAAAACTTTTTAAGAAATTTTTTTGAAAATCCGCCCCTTCTCTAGAAATTCCTAGATCTGCGCCAATTTAGGATTAATAAAAACTAAAACATAGTTGAAGGCTTTTTTCACGTTTAATTTATGCTTTTCAAAACCAGCTGATCTAACCAGCTGATGCTATTTTTAAGCAGGAATGCGAAGTATCGTATCGACGATAGATTTTTTGGTGTCGATAGATTATCGCGATACATTGAACCCTCTCGATAGATTATCCGATAATCGCGATTATCGGAATCTTACATAATAAATGAAATCTTATAAAAATTAAGGTTATGTTTCAGCTGAAATTTTGCGCAACCGGTAAAAAGCTATTGAGCCAGGGGCGGATTTAGTGGGGGCGGGGGGGGGGGGAGGCGGATGCCCCTCTTCAGGGATTCGACCCCCTGCCGACCCAAAGGGTCCCCCCTTTGATACTTTTTCAGAAATCCATTTTTGGCCGACCGACCCTAAAATTTGGCGCCATTATATACTAACTTTGAGAGGGAGCGCACACCAAAAAAAAACGCAATTTTTTTGGTAAAAATTTTCCGAAAAGTGCCCAAAAACGGCTTTTTTGACTGTTTTTTCAAAAATTTGCCTGCTGCGCAGAAAATTTAGCCAAAATAGGGGCAAAACAGTGCTTTGGGAGAGCTCGAAAAATCAATTTGGTCGACCTAAAAAAAATCGTCAAAATTTTCGAATTTTTTTTGAAAGTCCGCCCCCCCCTCGAGAAAATCCTAGATCCGCCCCTGATTTGAATATCAAAAATTTAATTTTAATCTTTCAGTTAAAGTGTGATTCAAATGTTAATTAAAAAGTATTAAAATCTTAAATTGTTAACAAAATTAGTGTACAAAATAGTATACTCGAATTTTATTTTTAAAAATAAAACAGCCTTTCAATTTACTAGCATTTCCAATGTTACAATGTTGTTTGTGTTTGATTTTCTGATTTTTAGTTCGAAAGGTAGAAATACTGATTGCATTTGACAATTTGAGTTGTGGATTTTTATTGAAGATCTTGAATTCCCTGGTTAAAATGGATCGTACACTTCTCGAAGTACTCCAATTGCTTATTGCAGGCGTTCTTGAATTCATCCATTTGCAGCACCTCCTAAAAAGAAATAATAGTCGCAATGTTACATTAAGTTTCGTAATGCTGGACGGCGTCTGGCAAACAAGACGACCGCTGTTGAGGCGACAACCGTTTGTGAAGGGAGATTAATAGGAATCTACAGAATCTCCAATAGTATAATTATAATTGATAATTATAAACCGCTCAAAATCTACAGTTCTTTTTCCGTGTTTAGCGCTCATTTTTCGTCTCAAAGTCATGTCTTTTAAATGTCATGTCGTCTTGTTTACCTAGCACCATGCTGGGATGTGTGCCGGATATCAATCCGCGGCACTTCAATCAGAATAGCAAAAATAGGAACTATGATAAAGACCACCAATTTATGCGTGTTGAGCACATGAGTCTTAAACTTTTTGCGAATATTCATTTCTTATTTTTGGCCTGATCAGGCCAAAAAAGTGATGAATATTCCCAGAAAATTTGAAATCATGTGTTCGAAACGCATAAATTGGTAGTCTTTATACATGTTTTTTGCTGGTAATATCTTTTTCATAATTTTTGAGAAATTGAATGTTTTAGCAGGTTCAATTTTAAAACATTGTATGTAGCTTTTTTAATTTTATAATTTATGCATTTAAAAAATCGATTCCTTTAACAGACTGTAAAGTCTCAGTAAAACTTTAGTATTACACTACAAATTTAATGGAACACATTCTAATGGTCACAAAAATAGTGGTCAAGCTAGTAACATTTTCAGGCACTTGACATGTTTAAAAGTTTGCCTGAAGTCCCTTCGGTTTGAAGTCCCGTCGGCTTGTTGTCCTAGACCAGATGGATATTTCTTCTTATATTGATTCAAATTGTTTTCAAATCAAACGCAATCTGCTGTTGAAGAGAAGATATATTCATGAGCCAAGGAACGAATGGGCGGAGGATTCATGTGCGAAGGAGCAAAAACAAAGTCACTCAAAAGCCAATAATTAAAATGAATCAATTGCCATTCAACTAAAAAGAATAAAAACCGTAGGTGACATTTTGAAAAATTTCATATTTCTGTCGTTTTTATATTCGACCAATACTAATGGGGCGGTGTAAAATAGCTTTAAAGTGCATAAACTTTTTTGCTAGCTTTATTTACGTGCTATCGCGTGCTTTTTTAAACTAAAATTGCAAATCTGGAAGAACAATACATATCGTAGTTCTGACAGAAATGGATAAACATTTTGGCATGGCCATTTAGTGGCAGATGCATGACTACCCGGCTCAAGATGCTCACTATATGTTTCGACTTTCGAAATCGAGCACATGTCGGCAACCAATAGTCGAGACAGGAATTTCGGTCGATTACAACCAATAGTCGAGACAGCAATTTCGGTCGAGCGCAATTTCGAAACATACCTCGAGCACGGTCGAAATATACCTCGAGCACGGTTGAAACACACCTCGAGCACGGTAGAAATATACCTCGAGCGCGGGCGAAAAATACCGAGTGTCCCGCGGTTATTCGGAGTCAAAAAGAAAAAATTCTTTCAATACCAATATACATTTTAGCACTTACGATTCAAATTGTAAACCAGTATTCCAAAAATTGGATGAAAAATAATATTGAATTAGTTCATCTCTACAGAGCAATTAAATTACCAATATCTCAATTCATTTCAGTTTAATAAGAAAAAACATCACAAGATATATGTTTAGAAAATAATAAGAAAAACATCCGAAAAACATATGTTATAACGTTTAAATTCGGATAACTCATGTTGTTTGAAAGACAAAACATACCCAATTTCAGTCGAGCACATTTTTTTCGGCTGAGCACAATCGAAACATATCTTGCTGGGGTCGAGGACGGTCAAGCACATTTGACTGACTCGGTCGAGCACGGTCGAAAGATACCAATTTTCGGTAGAGACAATTGAAACATTAAGTTAGCACCTCGATTCGGGTATTTATTCATTTTTTAACTGTTTTTTTTAAACAAAAAAACTGAATGAAAGCTAAATCAGGTCTTTTGTTAAGCTCATTTACAACCCAATTCCTGATATAAAATAATGAGATTGATATCCGGAATGTTTTACATAGTATTAGTATCATGAAATTGAACAAATGTTGGAACACTGAAACCTAATTGGCTGATTTTTTTCGCCCATTTGATTCTTCGGCTATGAGGGATTCCAACGTTGACGACAATGTTACTACCGTAGGAGTAGCTCGCAAACATTAATCACGAAATTTTACAAGAATGGTTCAGAAGACATATAAGAAAACTCGTTTTTTATCCAAAATACCATAAACGGAAACGATCAAATTTACTTTTCCGATAACCAGTGACTGAAAACCTGTCTTTTTACGCTTCTAATGCGTAAAGTCACCATTGTTTGAAGTGAGGCCTTTGTAACCAATAGCTAGAAAACTACTGCTTTTAGGCTAATAACCGCACAGATTAGTTCAACTAGCTCTTCAAGATGAAATAACCCAGTTCGAGTTTTCGCGGATTTCCGCAATCAGAAGTTTTGCCAATTAGGATAATTAACTTTGCAAAATTTCCAAACTTCTATTAAAGCGTATGCACACCCCTAAATGATGAAAACTGGAAATCAAAATGTTAAATAGTAAATTGGACTGATTTTACTTAAAAATGCAGGACTGATATCCCGAGCGTTAAACCAAACCACAATTAATAATGCATTCGACATTCTTTTTATGAATTTTATGTGCAGAGAACAGCAAAAAAAGCCAGTTTGAGGGCAAATTAAATTAAAAATAATTCGTAATGACCAGTCCCATTTTAACTTCTTGCATTTCCTAGTAAAATCGATCCAATTTTGGGATCTTGTTAACTATTTCCCCCCTATGGTACCTGTAACAAATCTCTGCCCTATAAAGAAAGAATTGAACGGCTAAGCATATTCGAATTTTGTACCTCGTTAATTATCGCCTCCCCCCTATTTGAGGGGGGGGGGGGGAGTTAACAAGATCCCAATTTTGTAACAAAACATTTCAATTTCAATTTTCATTATTAAGTGGGTTAACCGAAAAGACCCAAGTGTACGTAGCATTGGCTGAGAATCAATGTGCGGCTTAGAAATGACTCCAAATTAATTTGAGTTAAATTAACTAATGCTGCGTTAACAGCCGCGAAATTTTTAATTTGAAACTCGTCATTGGATTATTTTTTTGTTTTGACTGATCAAAAGGCTTGAATCTGATTGGCTGAAATTAATTATAGCAATAGTGAGTATGGTTTTGCATAATAAACAGTGCTCATTTAACAGTTTGATCATTTTGGGCTGTATAACACAAAATATCCTCATTTTATGCCAAAACTTAGTTTTCCATAATATTAATGAAATTGAATTACTCGCACCAATCGTTCGAGTAAATGAGCGAGTTTTTAGATGAGAGGGTCTTCAGAATTCTGAAAAACTTTTTCGGAAAAATTTAAATTATGTTCAATTTTTTACCGGGAATTAACGTTGTATTTGTTTTTGCCTAAATCTGAGAATAAAAGCTGGGCAAAATTTTGGATCTAATATTTTCTCGAGGGGGATTTCTCGAGGGTCATTTTAGTCGATCCTTTTTTTAGGTCAACTAAATTGATTTTCTTCGAACGAACCCGAAAAAGGATTCACTTTCCAGCTAGAATAAAATTGCGAGTAAAAGGCTAAACGCCCTTAAAAAATTATGCATCTACTCATATGCTTAAAAAATTCCACTAACCTTGAGAAAAGTAGTGTTTATTGCTTGCACATTTTCCAAGTAACTAAAGATCTGATTCGATAGCTTGTCTCTGTTCTGACTCTTGAACTTTTTGCAGATAATGTACGAGAATAGGCTGTTCCACATTCCACCACAAACGTTTTTATCCATTTTCGTGGCCTTCAAGGGTCTTTTTACTTCGTCCGCGCAAATAAGTAATTATCAAATTATGGAAACCAGAAATGCAAAAATCTGATTAGCCAGAACTAAATTCGCTGATAGAATCTATTGAAAAAAATCCATCGCTTAATACCTGATGTTGAATTAGGAACTAGTTAACAATTCCTCTCTATGTTATCCAGTAGCGGATTTAGGTGAGGGAGGAAACGCAAAATTTTTCAAAAAGTGCCTAAAATGTTTTTTTTTGCCTGTAATTAGGGGTTTTTTAGTGTAAGTTATTAGGGAGAGCTCAGAAAATCTATCTGATGGACCTAAAAATAGATCGATGAAATTTTCAAAAATTTTTTGAACATACGCCCCCCTCCCTCGAGAAAATCCTAGGTCGGCCCCTGATAGTATCTACGGGTACCGAGCAAGCATCTGATATATCAAACAAGCGAAAAAAAAACAAAAAAGGAGAAAAACAGTTGCAAACATCCGGAAAAACAATTTTAATAGTAAAAACATCGACTCAAAAAGAAGGGCAAAGATCCGATTTGTGCCGTTCGCTTAAAAAATGCTGTGTTGTCCGAAATAATTGTGAGTGCCCCAATAACACCGACGTGTTGTGAGTTTGTCAACAGAGAGGGTTAGGTTTCCATATAAAAATTGGAAACCGGTATCAAGTAAAGATTATCCCTCAAAACGCGGGGCGTAGCAATTAACATATGTGCCTATTAGCATGCGATAATTGCTTTAAAAACAAGACAACCTAAAATTTCAAACATTTTCAACTTGATTCGCTAGGGAGGTTAAAATTTTCCTTTCATTTAACTAAAAAATCGGCTTAGTGCACTGTTCAAAATTGCATTGTTGAGTTAACAACAAAACCTGTAATAGCGAATCTTCAAATACTTTCTTTAACTTGGGCATGCTAATCGACACATGCTAAAAGACCGGTGCCCTCCAAATACAACAGTACTGGTGCTAGGGATTTTAGCAGACCGTTTTTTTTAGCAGACCGGTTTTCTAGCAGACTCAGAACAATTATAAAGTGTGATAACCAACTTCAAACGATGCATTGGCGATTAGCGACCGCTTGCTCCGCTGCGCTTCAATTCAACAAGAGTGTTATTGTGCGCGTAAATCTTTGTATTGCCGCTAATATGGACTGTTGTATTTTTGAAGTTGATAGTGTTGTTGGTGGAAACCCTCATACGCGAAGGACCGAATGCGCAAAAATAAAAATTAGCCAAAGAGATTTCAGTAATCTAAAATTTGGAAAAAAATAAACATTTTCTGGGACTAAACATTGATATTGGCCGAATATAAAGTTGGCAGAAATATGCAAAGTTTTCAAATTGTCACTGATTGCAGCCAAATTGGAGCAAATTTTATAATTTAAGGGTTTCGTTATGAAAGAAGCAAAATAGTGCTCATTCAATTCATTTTAATTGAATGGCAATTGCTTCTTTTTAAAAATTGATTTTCGGCTAATTTTTTTTTCGTTCCTTCGCTCACGAATTTTTCCGCCCATTCGGTCTTTCGCGCATGAGAATAGCCCCAAGTTTTGTTGACAAAAAGTGAGATAATTGACTTACTTGGGGAATCATGACATCAGACTGATCGTCTTTTTGAGTCTGTCAATCAATCATCCATCACTTTATTACATTGGTCTGCTAAAAGACGTTGGTCATTTTTCACTTTTTATGCTGAAAGATTCGTCTGCTAAACGATCGGTCCTCAACAGTACTTTAGCACTAGAGCTTTCTATTAAGACTATATTTTTGCTGCATTCTGATTGGTCGGAAATTCGACAAAATTATCCTACTCAGCAATCTCCCCCGATTGCTAAGTATACTCACTTAATATTTTTTTGGGCGAATTGAATAAAAAGACCCGCCTCCACACTGTCAAACATTTCACAGAGTAACGTCAATATGAAGGCTCCAGTTTCGCATATCAGTTTTGCTCGAAGAATTGCAACTCCGCCATTATCAATATGTCTCATCATAACATATAGTTGAGCGAACATTAATTCGAAGTTTAGCAGAGCTTTTTGATTCGGAACATTGTCAAAACTTGAATTTGTATGCCAAGATCCATCCATGATCACTAAGGTGTATCTATCGGACCACTCATGTGGGTGTTCTAAAATGAACGGGATCGCTCTAACTATTCCCCCTTCGGTAACCTAGAAACCAAATGCCACCCCCATTGTAATAAAATAATTCAACGGCCAAGCATAAGCAAATTTTGTACTTAGTAGCGAATCTCTCCCCTTATGCAACACCCGCACCGAAGTTTCTCGAATAAAAGCAGATTATTTTAAGAAAATCACACCAAAATGTTGCGAGCATAATCGATTATGTGAAACCAATTTTTATTTTTATCTCCATACATTCTCAAAATATTCTTTTTTTTTGCCATATAGTCTCAAGAAAATCTGTTTTTTTTGCCATATGATTATAAAAAAATTTTTTTTTGTCTTCATAGAATCCCCACTAAATCTATTTAAAATCAGG